ATTCTATATCATCTTGCATTGATAAATCTTACATGACTGATGCCTTGTTTAATGAGTTCTTAGAATTTATGAAATCACATAAGTTGAAGTAGGGTATCTTACCAACCCCTGTTGTAGCCAATGCCATCTCTGCACAGTCAGGTATCCCTATGCTCTATTTTACTAATACTGATTTAACAAATCAAACATGGATACTTGATACTGGTGCTACTGACCATATGATTTGCAACATTAATCTGTTCTCCTATACTCCTATTGAAAAAGAAATCAAAATAAATTTACCAAATAGACATTACACTTGTGCTAGTCATGTGGGACAGATCAATATGGGATCTAATCTTGTGCTACACAATGTGTTATAAGTTCCATTTTTTTACCTTCAATTTGATTTATGTTTCTAAGTTTATTTCCCATAACAACTGCAATGTCAATTTTGTTTCATCTTCGTGTCGATACAAGACCTACAAACCAACCAAATGATTGGTTCTGCTAGGCTCCACAATGGACTATACCATCTGCATATTCCTGCAAATATTACTCACAATGTTTTTTCTTCATATGTACTTTCTAATCATGTAATGTTTGATTCTGACCTGTGGCATGTCAGATTTGGACATCTCTAATATCATGAGCTACTTCAAATGTCTTTATGTTCTCCTAATACTTGAAAAACTTCTGCTCACAATGCATGTAATGTATGTCATTTTAGTAGACAGAAAAGACTATCATTTCCAATAAGTACCAGCATTGTTGCATCATGTTTTGATTTAATCCATTGTGACATATGGGGTCCATTCTCTACACCATCTCACTTGGTAACAAATTTTTTCTCACAATCCTAGATGACCATAGTAGAGTAACATGGATCTATCCCGTAGTTCACAAATTTGATACAAAGAAATACTTGTTACATTTTTATCATATCATTGACATTCATCATATTTTCATGCATTATGAGTGATATATTGTGATATTTGGCTATAGTTATCGTTTGATTGTGCACCATTTTGTTTGATTTAGCAATCTATGATAGAGGTATTTTTGACGTTGATTTTACATGAGATATGCCCAAAAAAGCGTTGAAAATGGAATCGGGACGAAAAACAGCAAAAAAGGGGTGCAGAAGAGGCCACACGACTCGTGTGGATGGTGACACGAGTCGTGTGGGTTGGGAAAATTAGAGCCGCAGCTACGGCTTTGCCACACGAATCGTGTGGGTTGTGACACGGGTCGTGTGACCTCTCGTGTGATCGGTCGTGTGAACCTGGAAGTTTGCCGAAAATTGGAGAAAAGTCACACGACTCATGTGGCATGTGACACGACTCGTGTGACGCGCAAATCAGTTCAGCGGGGAATAGGATTCTTACGCGATTTCTTCCCTTTTTCGATCCAGATTGGCCCTACAGTATAAAAATAGACCTGAGGAACTCGTTTTTGGGACTTTTGACACCATTGGAGGCCTAGAGAAAGCAAGAAACACACGAGGGATTCGAGGAAGTCAAGATTGAAGATTCGGGAACTAACGGCGACAATAGTTCTTCTTTCCTTTCTCTTTTTCTTCTTCATTGAACTCATGGATTTATTTATTTTGAGTTTTCAGAATATGTTTAGTAACTAAACCTTTTAGATTCTAGGATTTGTTAGTACTCTGATTGATTTATGATATAGTTTTTATGGTTTTCATTCCGGTTTATCTTTCGTTTATAAATTTCTTGTGCTTATTGTTATTGTGCCAGTAAACAGCCGCTATGAATGCATATTTGTGATTGATTTGAAACAGAGAGGAGATGATTGATTGCTAGAATTGGGAGATTTATAACGTAAGAGAATAAACAGACCGAGAGGTTGATAGGACCTTGCGAGAGAACGAAAATCCTAGGAACTTATGGGAGTTAGTTGTTCATCTTGAGACCGAGAGAAGATAAATAACAATTAATATCTACGATTTAACTTGTTCGAGAGAAAGGTTTGAAATCAATTTAGCGATTATCTCTACGACTGGTAAAATTAAATAAGGTTTGTCTGAAGATAAACGTTTCATGAATTAATTCCGAGGAACACTTAGCCTAGAATCTATCGTTTGTATTTTGTTTTATTTTTATTTTATTAGGTAAATTAGTTCTTAGTTTAATTTATTAGTTAGCACTCATCATTCAATTCATTAGTCTAGATAATATTTAATTGTCACTATTTTAGTACTTAATTAATTTAACTACAATCTCTGTGAAATACGACCTTGCTCGCCACTACCTATAGCTACTCTGTACACTTGCGGATAGTGAAAATAATTAGCGAACAATCATTCAAACTCAATTTCACAAGAAAATCAAAACAATCAGAACAGATAATGGTTCTGAATTTTTCTTACGTGATTTCTATTCTGATAATGGCATTATCCACCAAACTAGTTGTGTAGAAACACCACAACAAAATGGCCGAGTAGAAAGAAAACGTTAACATTTGCTAGAAGTGGCTAGAGTCATTATGTTTCATGCATCGTTGCATTTGGAGTTTTGGATTGACTGTGTGTGTGCTGCTGCTCATATCATAAATAGAGTTCCATCATATGTTTTGAAAACCTCTCCTTTTCAAATACTTTATAGCACTTTGCTATGCATCTACATTGGAAATGCTCCCCTATCTACGGTGGGCATGTTAATATGTCCACCGCTGATGTGGCATGCACACATTGGTGATGTTATTGTATTAGAAAAATACATCACCAATGTGTGCATGCTACATCAGCGGAGGACATACTAACATGTGCCCACCATGGGTAGAGGAGCATTTCCCGCGTCTACATTACATGCTCACACTTATATAGTAATGCGAGGCCGGGTGAGAGAGAATGTGTACTTAGGACGCGTTTGATAGCTTGGACTGGACAAGATTAGGCCTCCAATCTGCCATTTATCTTGTGTTTGGTTTCCAAGATACCGGCCCGCAAGATATGATAGAGCCCGCGATGTACGGTGCATTTGTCGTGGAAATCCGGGACTATTTGATTTGGGCCATGAGGTAAGATAATTCCTGTCTCAACAGTATTAAATAATTGAATTTACAAACTTATCCCTAAAACTAAATATTGTTGACCATTTTAACCTAGGGCAAAGCAAAAATTACTCTGTTTGCCATTAACCTAAAATAAAAAACCCATTTCTTGACAATTGACATTGGTGGTGACCTGGGATGCTCACCACCGCCGGCCGCCGACGCAGGCGCAGAAGTAGATGAAGGCGGAGGTTGGAACCGTTCAAATGAGTGACACAAATTCACATCCGATCAAATACTCCGTCCACAAAACCGTCACCACGAAGTACATCTCCTCGCTGCCGCGGAAGACGAAATGTAGCCTGTGCACTAGCGGCGGCGGCCGTGGGGGCGGTACTCGGTGGAGATCTGAGACACGTTTGGCGCACCTTCTTACCCTCAACACGAGGTGGTCGACAACGTTGGGCTGGCGTGGGATGGAAATTGGGCGCACCTTCCTACCCTCAACGTTGGGCGCACCTTCCTACTCTCATCTGGGCATGTGCTGACTGTTGTTTACCATTTTTTTTTTCAGGTTTTAGTTCTCTGTGCTGGTCTATGCAAGCGTAGAGGGGCAGAGATTCTCACTGAGTGAGTTCAATTGTATTTGTCTTTACCCTCTTTTCTTTGTTTGTGGGGATGATGGACATGTTAATTTGTAGAAATGTCATTTTATATTTAATCTCCTTTGATTGCATAGATGATTATTGGCATTTCATCAGTGTGACAATAGTGGTTAAATAGTGTCAAGTAAAGAAAACGAGCTGTCTTGATTGGAATTGCATGTCTAGGAACTTTGATATGGATGTTTTGAGTGGGAGAGTATAGCTGGAAAATCTGCGACAATAAATGCATTTTTTGTTATGTAATTATGTTGTTTGAATCAAACTAATATCCATGTTTGTAAAACTTTTATGCCAAAATTGAACTAATCATGTGCGTATTTTCTTTTTCATGTTCAAGTTGTCTGGCAAATATGTTGTAATGTTCAAGTTGTCTGTCAAATATGTACTTCCTAATCGTGCGCGTATTTTCTTTTTTATGTTCAAGTTGTCTGTCAAAAATGTTGTAATGTACTTCCTATAAGCATTCAACTAACTTTGCCTTTGGTTCTTCATTCGTGGCGACAGTTTTTGATATCCAATGTCAAATAATTTGATAAATGGAAGAAAATATGATACACATAATGCGATTGAGTATTGATTTGCAAAAGATATGTTCGTTCTTTCATTTTTTGGGACAGTGGTTCGCGAGAAAGATGCTTGCTGGGAATATGCTGACCGAATTCTCAATGGCGGCATTAGCCGCTTAAAGCATCGTCTCTCTCGACTCCCAAGCAAAGGTGTCCCACAATTCTCAATGGTTTTGCTCGCTCTCCGTCCTACCACCAGATGATCGACGCCATTAAAAAATGCGAGAATAATAGTGGGTTTGTGGTTGCCACAGTGGAATCGTTTAGGCCGAATTGGCTTGGGAAAATCAAATCCGAGATGCAGTTGTGGTCGAAGGGCGTCGAGACGAAGTGGGCCATGACTGGGTGCACGGTGATAGCGGGGACGTGGGCGGATGAAAACTCGAGGGCTCTGATCAATTTTCTCGTTTCGTCTCCTTCTGGAACCTTCTTCCACAAGTCGGTGGATGCCTCTCTGTACTATAAGAGCGTGAAGTACCTCTCAGAGCTGTTCGACTCGGTGATTCAGGATTTCGGGGCTGAGAACGTGGTTCAAGTCAAAATCGATGATTCTTTAAATTTCCCAGGCAAACCAGCCCACACATAAAGGACACTCAAATTGGATTCGAGCTGCTGAACTGCTAAACGACGTCGTCGAGGGAGGTGAAGGAGTTGGCACTGCAGAGAAGAGAGTCGAGGGCCTCCACAATTTGATGGTCGGCAACTGCCATGCCCAGCAGCGGCACTGATGGCCCTCTGTCAGCGAAAATGTTGAGAAAAGTTAAAGAGATATTGAACATATTTCATTCTCTGTAGTCTGTACGGCATGAAGGAAAAAAATATATATTTTAACATTGGGGGCAAAATAATAAATGTGCATTTAATCCTATTTTTTGTACATGTCAACAAACACATAAAACAAATTATAAAATAATCTTATCTTGAATAAATCAAACATAACAAACATAAGTATAAAAATATCTCTACACCCCAATCTTGGACAACTAGATAAAACTGATCTAATCCGATCTTCCTAAACAAACGTGCTCTTAATGTATATGAGACAGAGAGAGTGATAAAAGATTTGACATGTTACAAAGACATCTTAATTAATTAAGTAAAGAAACAAAAATTAAGAAAGTACAAATGGATCCGATACCCTTATTCTAATTGGGCCCTGGGCCAGGGCCAGGTCCGGCCCAATATATTTCATACTTCCGGTTAGGTTAGATTTCGTGTTTGCGTTTGCTACAAACTATAAAAACTGGAAGTGAACTTCAAAATCCCATCAAATTCTCAATTTCACACACTCACGCACATACTCACGCACATATAACAGAGAGAGAAGTAATAACTAATATTTAAGTGAAATGGTGAAAGGTAGTGTGTGTGTGACAGGAGCATCAGGCTTCATAGCGTCATGGCTGATTAAGCTTTTGCTTCAGCGTGGTTACACCGTCAAAGCCACCGTCAGAAACCTCCGTCAGTACTCTCTCTCTCTCTCACACACACAACACACACATTTCTTTTGTAGTTCCGTTAAGTCTATATATCTTATATGAACCTATTTATTCCTATTCCGTTGACATTCAAAACACTTCGAATTCAGGTGATTCCAAAAGGGTCGAACATTTGTTGGCACTCGATGGAGCCCACCAAAGATTGTATTTGTTTGAAGCCGACTTACTCGACGAAGGATCTTTTGATTCGGTTATTGATGGCTGTGAAGGTGTCTTTCACGCTGCATCACCCGCTTTCTTAAAAGCTACCGACCCACAGGTTTATTATTTGATTTTTTTTTTTTACTTTTTCTTTTTACATTTATTCACAATTGATTTTTTTTCCTAAGGACGACTCCAAAAGTTTCAGCACTCGTGCTAAATTATCTGGCAAAATCGTCATAATTTACATCTCTGGTTTAATTTACACAAACAGTATCATTAGGCTATTGTTTTTTTTTTCCTTCTTCTTTTTCATATTTCAGAAAGAATTGATAGATCCAGCTGTGAATGGAACAATTAATGTGCTTCAATCATGCAAGAAAGTAACAACGGTGAAAAGAATAGTTGTAACATCTTCCATGGCTTCTGTCATGCTCAACTCTAATTTGCTGAAGTCCGGTTTTTTGGTTGACGAAACATGGGTTTCGGATCCAAGCTTCTGTATAGAAAAGGAGGTAATTGATACCAAGCCATTTTAGATAAGTTATTTTCATTGTGGAATTACTTTGTTTAAACACTTTAGCATTTTTTGCATAATTAAAAGAATAATAAAATAAAAAATGTTCTGCTTTCAGGATTATTATGCTCTTGGAAAAACTTTAGCTGAGAAGGCTGCATGGAAATTTGCGGAAGAAAATGGGCTCGACCTAGTTACATTACATCCAGGCTATGTGATCGGTCCTCTATTGCAGCCAATTCTCAATTTTAGTTCTGAGGCTCTACTGGATCTTATTAGAGAAGGTAATTTGGTGTTCTACCATACACAGTATTCATCTCAAGGTGATCCTATATATATATACGAAAGAAAAACATATAAAAGAAATTTGTATGAAGTCCATGATGAAAAATATTTGAAAAATCATCACAAAATTCTCAATGTACTTCAATAGGAAAGGGAATACAAAGCTAAAGATAGATCGACTTTTTGCATGCATATTTAGTAAGTTGATACTCTTTTTAACATTATGTGCAGGAAAACAACTATTTTCTAGTGGAGTGTACAGTTATGTGGACGTGAGGGATGTTGCTCTTGCACATGTTTTGGCATTTGAGAATTCATCTGCCCATGGCCGATACCTTTTGGTGGATAGGGTGACTCATTCATTTGAAGCATTCGACATACTGAATGGAATTTTTCCGACTCTCAACCTTTCTCCAACGTAAGATTTTTTCTTGTTAGGTTTAGCTCTTCTATTGCTTGTTACTTATGGCACCAAAATTACGCTTTCATTTCAAGTAACTTTTGGAATGACTTATTTTTTGCTTATGAAGTTGTAGTTGAGAAACATCTTTCTTTCTTCCTTCTTTTTACTGATATATATATATATATATATATATATATATATATATATTTTGGTTTTTATGAAGTGGTTTTTATACTTCATATGAATTGCATAGGTTTTTAAGAGGTTTGCCAAAAAAATGTCTATACATGTACATTGTGGTCACAAAACCTTGACTAGTTGTTGCTCCATACCTAAATTAATTATAATCTCAAGATTACCTTGTTATATTTTGCAGAATTAGTGAGGATCGACCTGCCAAGCCCCCTTACCAAGTATCCCAAGAGAAAGCGAAAAGTTTGGGTCTCGATTTCATGCCGCTTGAGGTGAGCCTCAAGGACACAATTGAAAGCTTGAAGGAAAAGAACTTTTTCTCCTAAATTCATCATGGTAATCAATATGTGATGCTATTTGATTACTAGTTGTGTTCTTGGTTTCTATTCAGGCAAATGTCAGCCGAGTTTAATGCAATATTAGTTTATGGTAATTGTGTAATGGAACCAAATGAGTGGAGCTAATGTGTGGTAATCTGAAATAATTAGTACCTAAAGCTAAGTATGTAGATTATTTTTACTAAACCTAATGTGTGGTAATCTGAAATAATTAGTACCTAAAGCTAAGTGATCTTCATTGATCTAAGCTATGAGCACCACACGAACTTCTTAGCTCAAATGAATCTAAGAGAATATACCAAATCATGAACTTTAAGATATGACATTGTCATTCTCCAATTAAAAGGTATACCTCTCTTGTACAGGCCATCTATTAATAAGATATCTCAATATATATCAAGTAGATGGATTCATAATTCTATTAGAAATTATGCAATCTCTAAATATGTATCCTAAAGTAGTAATATCAAGATTGTTTTCTAAATTAATATTTTTCACTCATCCATATAATTTGACGCATTCAAGCAATCTCAGTTATTTTTATCTTGCATCCTAAAGTAGTAATATCAAGATTACACTTCATTACAAAGGAGTCCCACAAAGTATTTGTAAGTAAGAGAAGATCTGACAAAGCGACGAGATAAGAAGTGGAAACCCGTTTGTTTGCTCATCTTATAGTGCCGTCACAACTCACAAGCACATTGATGAAGGATCGTGTGTCTCACCATCTTCATCACACATGTAGTACGCATACACGGTATGATGAAGCTCCCACTCAGTTTGGGCATGTCAAGCTTATCATACCAGTCTACGTCTAGTTACCCCTAGAGTGTTATTATCAAAAGTAAGTCATCAAAGTGACTTTTGAACTCAGCATACACAAGTATTATCAAACTTTTATGAAGTTTGGACATATTTCACAAACGTCCATCTTGGCCATATGCAAAGGCAACTATGAAGAAAAATAAGCTTTTCACGTTATTTTATGTGGGAATTTATTGATAGCTTGATTAGTTCATCGCGAATAACGATTGCTTAATTACATACTTCCGAATCATTGATTGTCTTTTTTTCACCTAGGGTCTTGAGGTTCGTAGTCTTTTTTCTCTTTATTTTTCTTTTTATTGCAGATCGAGGATTTACATCCGTTAAAGTTTGATTCTTGCTTTCATTCTTGCCTTCAATTGCGTTCACATTAGTGTAAAACAAGCAATCAAATTGCGATTGAAGTGTTTAGGACTTTATTTATTATTCTTTCAATTTTTTTTTGTGAATCAATCGTTGTCGAAATTCGATTTTGAACAACCTTTATTTGAGATACGACCCGAAGTTAGTCTTGACGATCTTATTCGACAAAAATACTATTACTTGGTAGAAAATGCAACTTTTTCCGTCGTTAAATGATACGTCATCTATATCCACATAAGCAAGGCCGTGGTTCCCGCAAAACCCGGTCCAATTAGGCCAAATATCCTCGATTGGACAGTATTTGCATGATTATTTGAATTACTGTCATCTTTTACCAAAATAAAATGAAAGTGTCTTATTTTGTCAACGACTATAAATTGATAAAAAAAAAAAAAAAACAATTTTGTCCTTTGCAACAAGTGATTTAGTAAGAGTGTTCGTGTTTGTTTGGAATTAAGACGTCATATTTTGTTATTATCGGGGATGAGCAGTTGAATTCACATGGCTATTGTCACACAATTTTCAAAGTTTACCAGACTCAACAACTTCTTTGTTTTTCATGAAGGTACCAAAATCCCCCACAAAAAGCATGACCTAAGGAGCTGGTAGTCATTAAAAGGGCTTGGTACCAGATTGACCGTACAAAATTTACAAAAAATGCCAAATAGTAAGGAAATTGTAATTTTAATCATGTGAGTGAGTTTAAGCATTTAGCGAAAAAGGTCCTATAAATACATTTATTTGCGCATAAGTCCTATACGTTCACAAGGAGGCACAATTCTGCTCGCCAGCATAGCAAAAATTACCCGGCGCGTCTCAGTGCCCAAAATTTATGATCATGTGGCGGCCTATATATATGTCGTATATTCATATCCTAGAAAATGTCACTAATTGCGAAAAAAAAGTAACAAAAGAAAATAATAAAATAGAACATCATATATATGGTAAAAAATATTTAATTTAAAACTTAGGGAAATTAAAATGCCACTAAAAGGATGGAGAAATTTGTAAATTCGGATGCAAATTTCAATTATTTCTGAAGAGAGAATTTTGGGAATTTTCAAAGCTTTCATCCATAGCTCGAGTTCACTGACTCTGTACATAAAAAGTTAAAACCCAAAGCTCACGATGGAGCCAGTTGCACTATCGTGTGCCTAGGCACACCTTGCTAGGTGTGCCATGCCCGATTTGCACGCGCGAGCCAAGTTCAAAAAAAGTGGTGAAAAGGGTTTTAATTAACGTGAAAACCACGCGCCTTTCACATCAAAACTTTTGCTCATTAATTATTTTTTTTTCCCAATTTTGCCGGCATCGTGCCTCGATTTTCAAACCGTCTTCTCCCCCAACTGCAACTGCAACTCCTCTTCATTCTCACCATTGTTTTCTCTTAATTTTCTCTGTTTCACAAGCAAAAGTTCCCGGAGAAGACAATTTTAAGTGAAAAACGCTCAATTTCCGACAATCTCTACTTCCCAGGTAAGATTTCTTTGCTTTTCATGTCGATTTAATTTCAATTTCATAAATTTTAAATGTTAAACTTAGAAATGAGAAACCCTACTTCATGGCAGATGGAAAACGAGACATTGCGGAACATGCTGGTATGTATTTTGTGCCTTGGGTTGAAACCATTCCGATTAGAGATTCAATTCACTTGCCAAAACCCTATTTTCAATTTCAAATTTCAGTGCCTAGGGTTTAAAGTAGTCATTCTAGAAGATTGTATAATGTGTTATAAATTTTTTTCCACACAGGATAAAATTAAAGGCCGTAGGAAAAATAGGTCGAAACAACGGCCAGAAAATGTTGGTGAACGGTATGTCCGCCTTGTTCATCTTCATTCGTATATTGGTTCATTTGAACATGTTCAATTTTCTTTTAAACATATTCATTTTCTTACTACACATGTTCATTTCGTTGATATACATGCTCAAAGAACATCTTATATAGAATGTAGACATGTTCATTTTGTAATTAAACATGTTCATTATACAATAGAACAAGTTCATTAAATACTGAAACATGTTCATATCATACTGTAACATGTTCATTTTATATCTGAACATGTTCATTATACAATTTAACATGTTCATTGTATACTGTAACATGTTCATATTATACTGTAACATGTTCATGATATTATTTTTGTAGAAAAAGGAAAGCTGATACTCTGAGTAAGCAAACTGAAAGAAAGAAGCCAAAATTAACCTATGAAATAAAAGAAGAAGGGGGATTCTTAAATAGAGTTTCCCCTCTAGCGTTGTACAAATTTTTCAAAGACTTGGATGACCGACAGAAAGAAGATGTAAAGAGTGTAGGTTTTGGTCATCTTCTCGACATGAAGATTACACAAATTGCGCCACCAAATCTTTGTTATTACTTGGTCACACAGTACAGGTAATTTGTGAAATTTGATTTTCATTATAATGTACATGTTATTTTCATTCTACTACATGTTCATTTTCTTATTAAACATGTACATCACATTATATCACATGTTATCACAGGTATGCCAGTAACACACTCATTCTCCGCGGTAATAGAGAGATGAATATTACCGCCGAAGATGTTGAGGCTGTTCTGGGCCTACCGAGAGGACCAAAAGAGGTCATTGAGGGTGATTGGTATGACAAAGATGAACAATATAATAAGATGCTTGGGGATTTCAGGGAGACCTTTGGTTTTAAGCGTACGGCTGGAGCTCCAACAGCCAAAAAGCTGGTGCAATATTTAACTGGAAAGGACGTTGAGAGAGGACAGAGAGTCTATGGAGATGACTTTAAAAGAATTTTCGTGATTGCTGTGGTGTCCCTATTTCTCTGGAGAAATAGGGGCCAAGAATGCAAGTTTAGATTGCTCAAATCGTTGCGAAAACCGTCTGACATCATCAATTACAATTGGTGCCAGTATGTGTTACAAGCTCTTTCTGAATCGGTCAAGATGTGGAATGAAAGTGGTGGAGAGGCCCATTTTAATGGTCCACTCACTTTCTTGGTAGTATGCTATCTGGACAGGGTCCAGTTTATGAACAAGACTTATGTACCCCGGAAATTCCCTGCTATTGCTTATTGGACAAATCAAGCAATTTCCAAGAGAGTTAGGGAAGAGCAGAGTGGCCAGGGTTTTGGGATGGGGTTAATACTTGATCCCATCAAACCACCAAGAGATGGAGCGGATCAAGCAGCCACATTAGCTGATGAACATGTGGTCGAGGTAAATTCTGTTCATATGTTTCTACAACATGTACATCTTATCAGACAACATGTTCACAAAATAATAGAACATGTTGATCTTTATTCTAAAACATGTTCATCCCTTCATACAACAACTTCATCCCTTTAACCAACATGTTCATCTCATTGTAAAACATGTTCATATCATAATGTATCATGTTCATATAATAATATAACAGCTTCATCTCATACAAGTTTTTTTCCTAAAAACAAACAAACAGCAAGAAAATTTGGTTGAAAGGTTTGAAAGGGCTATGACAAATATAGCACCATTCGTGTCTGAAGTTCGAGAGGTGTGTGAAAGGGCAAAGAGCTCGGATTTGGGTGCTGCCCTCATTATTCATCATGCACTTCAGAACCATGCATCAGTTATCATGAAAATCGCACAAGGTGTTATTGATGTGCAAACAAATGAAGGAATTGATGATGAAATGGGTTTTGATGGACAGGAGCAGGAACAAGATGCAGGTAACATGTTCATTTCATAATAAAACATGTTCATCTTATTGAATGACATATTCATTATCTTAAACATGTTCTTAAGCATGTTCATCTCCATATTTAACATGTTCATTTCATTCTTAAACATGTGCATCTGATTGAATGACATATTCATTATCTTAAACATGTTCTTAAGCATGTTCATATCCATATTTAAAATGTTCATTTCATTATCTAGAAAATGAGGATGAGGAGTCAATTCATGTAGAGGTTGGGGATGAGGTTTTGGTGCAAGAACAAGAAGGAATTGAAAATGAAGTGGCAAATGATCGAGATGAACAGGAACAGGAACAGGAACAAGAACAAGAACAGAATGGAGGTAACATGTTCATTTCTCTCTCAAACATGTTCATCTTATTGCATTATATATTCATTATCTTAAACATGTTCATTATCTTAGAAAATGAGGAAGAGAAAGAGGATGATGATGTGGAAAGAAATGAAGGAATTGAGACTGAAATGGCAACTGATGGACAACAAGAAGCACATGATACAGGTAACATGTTCAT